GCTCTAGCTGAGTCATTAAAATGGTTTGTGGCACATGATAAAGGCTTGATGGTGCGGATTCGAGTCTGACCGCAGCGTACACTGTCTTATGAACTGCTAGTATCATGCGCAAGGAGTTAACGGCGCTGTACTTCGATGGAACCAACCGAGAAATGGGCAGGAAATTGTTGAGTTGCGAAAATATCAACAACGGCCTATGTTGTTCTGCTGCAGTTTTGCCAAAGCCTGCGAGGCTTAAGGCTGTACAGTCTGATGCGTGTTTTATGGCTGCGATGAACCCTGCTCATATTGATAGCCGAATTAATCGCACATTTTATAAATAAAACTAAATAAAACAATTTATGATGCCAAAAGTAATTCAGTGCTAAGAAGTAGCTTCTTAGGGATGCAATAATTTAGTCATTTGCTTTTGGGTTTGATGAGAATGGCGTTGAAAGCTGAATTTGCATTTTTATTTGAAGCTCACAACAGTCCTCGATATGCTAAGAACGGACAGAAAATCGAAGAAGCAAATGCCTTTCAGAATGTTCCGAGATCAGAGAGCGGCTCAAAACCAGAATTGCCACCCGATGTTACCAAAGAAAAATGTAAAGTTTTGTTGAAGCAGATGGCATCAGGAGTGGAAGCACTGAAGAGCGATTCGAACCTATGGATCAACGACTCGTGGAAAAACCAGGCTACGCAGTACGTGCTGGATAACCTACAGAAGATGATCAAATGCATCAAACATTTTAACGGTTCTGAAATGATTTTGTACTAAACATATCAGTCATCAGTTTGATTTGTCCACAGCTTCACGTTTGTACTAATTTTGCTTGATTTTGAGTTCCAGCATAAGCTCTGATGAAATGGCTTTTATATTGTGATAGTTTTGTGGAAAATAAATTCGACTCAGATCACGCAACTTCTTTGAAAACGGAAATCAAATGAAAACTGACTTGTTCCATGCGTTTGCATGTTTTCTTAAATCTAGCCATCATGCATGTCCATTCCCTGTTGTGATAATCTCAAATAGAATATTTCTGATTGATTTCAGTACTTTCGGTAGTGATAACGTGATAACGCCTTATGCAATCATTCGCTTAAGGTCGCTCTTCATAATGCAACATTATGACTGTCGTTGAAAAGAGTGAGGAAAACTTGAGTTGTTGGACACCTATTCGAGATCGGAGACCAGAGGGAGTGCTCCAATTATAGGGGCAAAGTCACACAAAAGTGCTTGAAAGACGGTGCAGTGGAATAACTGGCATCAAGATACAAGAAATAGAATGTCGCTTCCTGCCCAGTCGAAGCACCTCGCAGGATTGTGGTTGCCCTGTGCCAAATTGTTGAGAAATGAGAGGAGTACGCCCGTCCGGTGTACATGTGTTTTCGTGAAATAGAA